GAAATTGTTAAAGATTGGTATAGGATTTAAGAGATTTAATTTTTTATAAAGGTTCTATAAGGAAAGCAGAAAGCAGCAAGAAATATCAAGTAAAGGTATTGGAGAGGAGATCAGTGTAAATGAAAACATGAGACTTATGGTTTTGTTACATATGATTTTATTTTGGAATTGTCTATTTATTTTTGAGTACAACTCAGTATTTCTGATCATGTTTAAGGTACCGTTTCTTCTATGGCCCCAACCCCTGTTCTCACACAAGCCCCTTCTGTCCCTTGAACACGAAGGGAAAGAAAGAACACAAGCTTCTCCTGAGGAAGGCGGAAGAGTTTTTACAAAAGGGTATCTTTTAAAAATAGAAAAATATTATTGACATGCTGAGCAATGTTTAAAAAATGTATCTGTAATATTGCATAAAGTGCCAGCGTGCTGGACCTAAGAGACATGGGTTCAAATCCAGGACTCAGCCATGAAACTTGGGAGTCAGTTCCTGCCTCTCAGGGTGACCTGCCACATGCAGTTGTTGTGGGGATTAAATGAGAATCTGAGACAACAAGATCCAACATTCCAATCTGGCCATGAAGCACCCCAGGTGTGTCCAAGTCCCTGCCTCTCAGCCCGACCTACCTCACAGGGTTGATGTGGGGATTAAATGAGGAGGAAGAAAATCAAGTAGCCCACCTTGAGCTCCTTGGAGGAAATGGTGAGATATACATGCGCTAAAAGAAAAAAGAGAGGAAATGCTTGCACCTGTGGAATGCGCTAGTTGGGTACTGCCCTAAGGGGTTTGCCATCGTCTTCGAGATAGTGATCCCATATCAGTCCCAAAAGATACTTGATGTCATCCTTACTTGAAAGCATTGTAGTAGTAATAGTAGTAGTACAGTCATACCTCGGGTTGAAGTAGCTTCGGGACACGTAACCGTATTTTTCGCTCTATAGGACGCACTTTTCCCCCTCCAAAAATTAAGGGGAAATATGTGTGTCCCCTATGGAGCAAATGCAGGCTCCTTGGCTTCAGTGATAGCAACGTGAAGCCTCCGAAGCGCAGAGGGAGCGCTCCTTCCGCGCTCCGGAGGCTTCACGTTTCTTTTGCTGAAGCCTGGAGAGCGAGAGGGGTCGGTGCACACCGACCCCTCTCGCTCTCCAGGCTTCAGGGATAGCCGCCTGAAGCCTTCGGAGCGTAGCACGAGTTCCCGCTGGGCTCCGCAGGCTTCAGGTTCCTTTCGCTGAAGCCAGGAGACCAAGACTCTCCTGGCTTCAGCAGAGAGGGAGAGCTGCGCAGCACCCCTTCAGCCAAGCGGGAGGAGAAATGGAAGGGGTTCCGTTTCTCCTGCCGCTTTGCTGAAGGGGCGCTGAGCAGAGAGGGGGAGAATTTTTTTCCCTTGTTCTCCCCCTCTAAAACAAGGTGTGTCTTATGGTCCGGTGTGTCCTATAGGGCGAAAAATACAGTATTTTCGGGTTGCGAGCTGCGGCAACCCGGAAGTAATGGAGCGCGTTACTTCCAGGTTTCGCTGCTCGCGCATGCGCAGATGGTCAAAATGACGTCACGCGCATGTGCAGAAGCGGCGAGTCGCCGGGTTGTGTTCGCTTCTGGATGTGAACGGGGCTCCAGAACAGATCCCGTTCGCATCCAGAGGTACCACTGTAGTTGTTATAATTAGAGAAAACACCCTGTCCCTCACCCTGTTTGACCACAATGGAGCAGAGATCCCCATCCCCGTGTCAATGTGCTGATTCTGCTTTGATTTGGGATTTTCTCTCTCCAAGACCTGGCATGGAAATGGCATTGCCCATTGCCAAGAACAACAACAGTAATGGATACCTAAAATCCTGGACTGCCTCTTAGCTCTTGATAAAAGGCAGTTTGCTAAAGAATAAAAAGTATGAAAGGTTACCCCGGGCTCCCAGCCAGCAATGCAAAACTCTGGGACCCATTCACTCCGACATCCCTGAATGTTAGGAATTGCACATGGTGTCTGAAATGGTAAAGAAGCACTCGGCTGGATCAGGCCAGTGGCCCACCTACTCCAGCATCCTGTTCCCACATTGACCAACCGGATGCCCATTATAGGAAGCCCATAAGCAGGACCTGAGCACAAGAGCAGCCCTCTCTCCTCCTGTGGTTTCCAGCAACCGGCATTCAGAATAATTGCTGGCTCCAACTGCGGAGGCAGAGCACAGCCATTGTGGCTAGCAGCCACTGATAGCCCTCTCCTCTGTGAATTTGACTCTAAATCCTCTTTTAAAGCCATCAAAGTTGGTGGCCATCTCTGCCTCCTGTGGGAATAAATTTCATAGTTTGCACTGCATGAAGAAGGACTTTCTTTTGGACTGAATTTCCTTTAGGACTGATGGTGGCAATCCCCCTATTGAGATCAAGCAAGTTCCTTCACTATACAGTGGTACCTCTGGTTACGTACATCATTCATTCCGGAGGTCCATTCTTAACCTGAAGCACCACTTTAGCTAATGGGGCCTCCCGCTGCCGCCGCACGATTTCTGTTCTCATCCTGAAGCAAAGTTCTTAACCAGAGGTACTACTTCCAAGTTAGCGGAGTCTGTAACCTGCAGCGTATGTAACCCGAGGTACCACTGTACTCTCTTCAGTGCCTAATAAAAGCATTCTTCTTTAGACAAGTCTGCCCAGATGTTTACAAAGTTGATATGAGTTTTAATCAGTTGTTTTAACTTTTGGAATGTTTTAAATTATTGATGTTAACTTTTCATATTGATTATTTTACTGTTTTAACTTTTTTTGTAAAACTGCTGTGAGGTTTTGCTTTGCTTTTTTTTTTTTTTACAATCAAGTGGTAGTGTATAAATTTTAACAAACAAATAAAATAATTTTAATCCCTCCTTGGATATTCCAACATCCAGCTTTGCTGGGTGTCCATGAGATCTTGCACTACAACAAAGAGAGGAAAACTTTTATCTATGAAAGGCCTGGACCACACGTTTGGCCAGAGATGTTCTCACAGTAAACATTTTAGGGGGAGGGGGGCAATATAACCCGGTTCCTTCCAGAATGCTTGGAGGTGTGTGTCTGTGGAGAGGGGGCTGCTAACTTGCAGTCACACATGCAAAGGCACAAAAGGTGTTTTCTGAGATACTGGAGGCCCCAGCACTGCAGGGCTAGGCAGCACTATCTGGTTTTGAAGAGCAAAGCAAACATGAAGAAACATGTTTAACCCATGCTGTTGACATATAAAGGGGGATTTAATCTTTTTTTTTTTCTTTTCCTTTTTCTTCTAGTTCTTCTTAGCAATAGCTGAGTTTTGAACAAAATAGTCCCAAGGGCAATTCTCCCCTGTGAAAACAATATTTTAACATTTCATTATGAAATTGCAAGATTGCCTACGCAGAAATGGGGAGCGGGGTGGTGATGGTGCAGAAACCAGACCTTTGTCCCGTTTGCAAGCATGACGGCACACCAGTCATCCTAGTTCGAAACCAGCTTTCAGGAGGACAAGGACAGTCCTCTCATTTTGCAAAGCCCAAGGTCCACATCCCTCCATAGACAACCTTCAGGCCACTTGGTAAAGCAGAGGTGATCACCTTCAGGATCAAACCATTGGCCCATCTAGTCATAAGAAGATAAGAAGAGCTTGCAGGATCAAGTCCATCTAGTCCAGCATCTTATTCTTACAGTACCCAACTGGATGCCCTAATTGGAAACCCTCAATCAGGACCTGACTGCAACAACATATCCTTTCCAGTAGCTGGACAGGAAACCCTTAGGCATGGTTCTGCTATCACAACCGGTCTCCTTAAGAGACTGGCTGCTGGATCAGGCTAAAGAGGGCTCATCATAGTCCAGCATCCTGTTCTGAGGTTGCCAACCAGATGCTCCAATGCAAAGCCTTCAAGCAGAACCTGAGAACAAGAACACTCTCCTGTCCTGCTGCTTCCAGCAACTGGTATTCAGAAGCAGACTGTGGAGGCAAAGCCACAAACCTGAGGCACATCCATGCCCAATGGCTTGGCTGAAGGCAAACCCTGACTCACAGCAAGTCAAAAAAATGAAGTCTAGATGGGGTTTTGCTTTGTGCCTTAACCACTCTCTCGCTTTCAGGGTGGAGGAGTACCGAGAATCCAGGAAGAGCGGATGCCATACTTTCGAGCTCTTCATGGGTTATCTTGAGGCACCTCTTCTACACACACACACACACACCGCAGTAGCAGCACAAAAGAGAGAATTATTCCATCATACCCACAACACATGACTCAGTTGCCTTCCAAAAACTTGGGAGTTGGGAGTCTTGGGAGTAAAAAAGAAAAGAAAAAAGCCATAAGATAGCACTGTAATTGGGCGTGGTTGGGAAATCAGTCTGAGGGGGCCATACAGACAGAGAAATGATCACAGTCTTCAGCCTTTGGATGGTAAGGTTTTTAAGTTTGTGTCCACAACTTTCTGAGCAACCTTCCAGAGGCCATGATCTGGTTGTGGGCAAGGCTAGAGGAAAAGGTGAGCAGAGGAGCAGATGTGAATTTTATCTTTGTGCAGTAGACTAGTTTCAACACCCACACGCCTCCTCCATCCTCTGTCCAGGCAAAGCAAAAGGCATCATCACAGATCAAGGACACATCGCAGCCAAACAAAAGCAGTTGTTAAGGAGCAGGGCCAGAGAGGGGTGTGGTCTAGGAAGAGAATGTGGCTTAGGGGATGCCCTGAGGGCCAAGCAGAGCATGATGGAGGGCTACTTCCGCCTCCCAGGACTCCTGTTCCTCACTCCCTGCCTTCAAGACCAATGCATTTATTATGACATAAATTTACATAGACTCAAGCCCTCTGCATCAGATTCTAAAAATTTGCAGGTACCTAAAGGAGAATATTGTGCTTGCTGTTTCACAGAATCAAAGAATCTGAGTTGGAAGAGACCCTGAGTATCAACTAGTTCAACCCCCTGCAATGCAGAAATCTCAACACAGAATTATAGAAGAGTGGGAATGGAACCTGAGGGTCATCCAGCCCACCCCCCTGGAATGCAGGAACATGCAGCTGTCCCATACGGGAATCAAACCTGCAACCTTCGCATGATCAGCACAAAGCTCTAACCAACTGAACCATTTGGGGGCGGGGCTCGTATGTGTGTGTGAACCCTACTGTCAGTGAGCATAGCCACTTTCTACTGAGCCAGACCCCTGGTAGCTGAATGGTAGCAGCTCGCCAGGAGTTCAAGCAGAGGGTCTCTGCCTACCCTGTCCTGGAGATGTCAGAGAATGAACCTGGGACCCTTCTGCATGCAAAGCAACAATTCCCAAAATAATAAAGTAATTATTCTAGTCCTCATCATTCTGGATAAAGGGTTCAATTGAACAGGAATGTAGGGAGCTGCCTTATCCTGAATCAGACTATTGGATTTTCTAGCTCAAAACAATCTACACTGACAGCGGCTCTCCAGGGTTTCAGGCAGGGGATATTTGCAGCCCTACCTGGAAATGCAGGTGAGGATTGAACCTGGGACATTCTGCATGCAAAGCAGGTGCTCAGCCACTGAGTTATGCTCCTTCCTCCAAACTAATAGCCCAGTCCTCATGCTTCTAAATAAATAAGCTGTCTCATATTGAGTTCGCCCATTGGTCCGCTGAGCTCAATGCTGTCTGCGCTGAGTGGCAGAAATGGGTCTCTGCCTTTTCAGTCAGGGGACCTTCTCAGAACCTACCTGGAGATGCAATTGGCAACTGAACCTGGGACATTCTGTATGCAAGAGGAAAGCAAATTCATTGGAGGCTGTAGAAGGAGGGTTTTATCCACACAGTTCACACATTTTATTCGTTATTTATTAGGCGTTATCATCTCTCACTCTTACCATCTCTGGGCACATTGCAAATTGATTAAAGATGCAAAGGACCAAAGAAACAGGGCAGAGTGAATAAAAATAAGATCATATCATGGGGGGATATGATGAAGACAACCTTTGTCATGGATGCAAAACTTTGGGACTAGTTCACTACAAAGTTTACTGACGTGAATGGAAGGAATCAAACCCAAGGCAACACTAAAAAAAGACATAAGGCAAACTTGCTGGTTCAGGTCAGCGGCCCATCTAGTTCAGCATCCTGTTGGTCAACCAGGTACCTGAATGGGAAGCCCAAATGCAAGAGCCCTCTCCCCTCCTGCAGTTTACAGCAACTGGTATTCAGAAGTGCTGCTGTCAGTCAGAGCATAGCACTGTGGCTAGTGGCCATCAATTTGCCCTTTCCAGTGGCACCAACCCTGGTGGTTATGAGATTATTAAGAGACGGATGCAAATGCAGCCCCCCACCCCAGCTATCTCCAAGTGCAGCACATCATGAGGCAAACCACAGAAAGAGGCCACACTGAACCTGCTTCTCAGAACTTTTATCATGTTCAGCCGTGAGCATCAACCAGGAGAGGGGGGGTGGGGGGAGAGAGGGAGAAATCCAGACAGTGGCAAAGACTTGCAAGTCAGAACAGGGCTGATAAGTACTTGAAACTCTTGTCATAAATAAGGAAGAAGAAGAAAATCACAGGTGGAAATTAATTTGAAAGAAAAGGAAAGGAGGAGGAGGAGGAGGTGTAAGACTGGGGGTGGGAGTGGTGTCGGGGGAATCCCCTCATCATCCGATATTTCTGTCAAGACCAGGCTCCTAGATCAAGGCTGGCTGTAACCCTCACAGACTTTGTAAATAGTCCTACCAAATGCATTGTGCTTTTGGGGAGATTTTTGGGAGGAGAAGATGCATTGAAAATAGATTTAAAGAGAAATAAAAATTAAAGGAGGGGAGAAATATCGTGGGGGTGAGGGAAGAGAAATAGGTGTGTTCTTTAAAGCTACAGTTCCAGAAAGATGCTAGGATTCAGGATTTGCCTTCCCCCCAAGGGGGGCGGGATAAAAAAAAAATTACAAATCCCCCTAAAATCCAGAAGTGGAAACTGTTAACCAATACAGTTTTTCCTGCTTAAAAAGCCCGCCCCCTAAAATCACAAGGAGCTGCTTATTCTATTCAGAACTCAAAAGTCAAAACGCAGAGCTGGACTGGGAAGTTAACTGGATCACTTTTCTGCTATTTTTCTTTTGAAGAGAAACTTTCCCACACCGTGGTGGGATCACCGCCGGAGTTTTGCAACAGTTGCAAGATCAGGCCTTTTTCCTCTCGATTTTGAAAGCCTCTTTCGGATCTTTCTCCCTCCCCCTCCACTCCGCCCCACGTTCAATCGCTCAACCCACTGCCAACTTCCAAAGGCGAAAAAGGAAACGCAGCCAGACCCGATCCCAGAAACGGTGTCTTCCCCTCAAACAACAACAACAAACCCATTCCCTCCCCCCAGCAATTAACAGTAGGGGTTTTTTTTTGGGGGGGGTGCATGGGCTCTTCCTTGGACTGTCCCAAGGCGCTCCATGCAAATTTGCAGAGATCACTTTTTTAAAAAAGCATTTAAAAGAAAAATCAAATGCAACACAAAAGCAACACAACAGATCGCCGTGGCCTGCCCTGATTTGCCCATGATTTGCACCGGGAGAGTGAAAACGACGAGGGAGCCTTGTGAAATTGACAAGGCCGCTTCTTTGAAATGTTATCAAAGGGGTTTTCGCTCCTGGCCACCCCCTTTCCCCTCCCCCCTAGAGAGCGAGCGGAGAGCTCGGACCTTCTCTGTGATCAAAAGATCGGCTGCGTAATAAAGACATTTTACCTCCCCCACAACACACCCCATTTCCCAGATCCCTTTCCACGACACTCAATATTGTGTCTCTCTGTGTGTGTGTGTAACACTGGCAACATAGAGATATTACAATATAGCTTTGCATTTTTTTTCCCGAAGCGGCCCCTCTCCAGCTCCCCACCACCACCACGCCGCCCCGCTTTCTTTCTTTTTTTTTAAAAAAAATAGAAGCCGAGGAAAATCAGCCAATAAAACTCACCCAATGGAAGAAAATGCTTGGTGTCCATCGTTTCTGGTTTAACTCATGCCAAACGCGATTTGTGGGAGAGCGATCGGTGGAGGAATTTCTTTTTTCTTTTTAATTAAAAAAGGAAGGGGAGCAAAGAAAGAAGAAGAAACCTCACAGGACCAAAAAAAAATCAAAGCCGGAAGAAGGGTTTTGGGGTTTTTTTTTAGGAGGCAGATTTAAGTGATTTTTTTTGCCCCCTCTCCGCAAGAATTACTTGTGCAAAGGTTGGCTGTTTGGAGATTGATTTGTTGATTGGGGGGTCTCCCCCCTTTCGCCCCTCTCTTTCCTGCTCCTCCTCTACTCCACCCCACACTTGGAAGAAAAATAAAAAAGATGAATGTGACTGTCTCTAGGTCTGGATAGGAAAACGCCGCCAAGAAAGTCCCAGCGAGAGGCGAGTCAAAATTCCGCTCCCACGGGGTCCGCGCGAAGCCGAGACGGAGGGAGTTGTTGCAAACTCACCCAACAATATAACTAAAGTACTCGGGTGTGTGTGCGCGCCCGCGCGTGCCCCGCTCTGTTTCTGTCTCTCTCACTCACTCGCTCACTCGCTTTGCTGCTTCTCCCCTTCCACCGCCCGCAGCTGAAATTGCAAAAGGGACCCCGCCAAGGGGTAACCTGACGGCCGACAGGTCTAGCAGCGACGGGGCATTGTCCGGGTCTCAGGGCGCGCGCAGCTGGGATTTTAGGGAGGGGGAGTTTCGGAGGGGGAGATTTCCTAGGGACCTTAGGAACCAACTCCTACAGCCAGGCTCCCTTCGTCCCCCACATAAAATACTTGAGGGGGCTTAAGGGACCCCAAAGTTGGTGGGCATTGCGAGTCAAATGGTGTGTTGCCTGCCATGTCCTGTGATCGATTATGCGTGGCGGGGCTTACCTGCCACACACCCACCTCAATATTTTATTCAAGTTGTCACCCCTGCTAGGGACATAGGATGCTGCCTCATCCTGCATGCAAAGCTTAAGCCCACCAACTGAGAGCTATATGACCCTTATCCTAAGATTCTAGTCCTCATCGTTCTGGATGAAGGGCTGCCATAGATAGAAACAGTGAAAGCTGCCTTCTACGGAGTCAAATCGTTGATCAAACACCTCAGTACTGTCTTCACTGACTAGTAACAATGGCTCTCCAGGGTTCAAGGTGAGAGTCTTTCCCAGAGGTGTAGTGGGGGGGCTGGGGGCTGCTCCGGGCACTTTTTTTTTTTTTGAGGGTCACAGGGCATCTTCCTTCTCAGCCACCCTCCAGCTGAGAGGGTGCCTGAGAAGGATGGAGCAGCCCAGGTGCCCGAAGAGCCCAGCACTGCTTGCAAAAGCAGCTTGGGGCTGGGCTCGCAGAGTTCCTGAACCGCCATTTCCCTCCCAGCTGCCCTCCAGCTGGAGGGTGCCCGAGATGGACACCCCAGCTCCCTGCAAGCCCAGTGCCACCCCTGCGAGTCTCACAAAGGAACTCTGGGTTTGCAGGGCGCTATGAATGCGCCCCTCAAAGCCAGCCAGCCAGAGAACCAGGGTCACTCCAGCAGCATGCCCAGTGTCCATGGTGTGCTGCACATGCCCTGGCACATGTGCACCTGCCCCAGGCGCTGAGGGGAATGCTCCACCACTGTCTCTTCCCTCAGCCTCACCAGGAGATGTCATCAGGAATTCGACCTGGGACCTTTCCTGTGTTGTCCACAGGCTCCACCATCAAGTGATAAGCCTTAAAAATGAAGTAAGGTTCTAATGCTCATGGTTCTGAATTAGGCTTGGTTTGTCATCTGTCCGTCCCATGAGACAATGGAGGAGTGTGCCTTTGGGGGTGAAGTCAAACTGCTGGAAGGTTACAGTGCCTGCTGTGGTTGTAACTGCTGCTTCTCGCATTATTGTTGCTGCATTTTCAGCATCAAAGTGACCTCCCTGGGGTGTAAGCCTGGACAGTGCGCATGGAAGTCCTGGGCTGCTCAGATGACAAGACTCCCCTCTCAATCCAAAGTAAAGCGGAGCAATACATTTGGCACCAACTTGGCTGCAGGAGTTTCCGGACGGAGGCATACAAGGTGCCAGGGTTTACTCCTTTGCCTTTTCCTCTCCCAAAGATGTCCCACAATGCAGTGGATAGAGATTATTCCTCAGGGTTTATTCCCAAAGCCTTTGTCCCTAATGAGTATAGCTACAAGGCAGCAGAGGTT